TCTCTCGCTGTGTCTCTCTCTGTCAAATAAATAAAATCTTTTAAAAAAATAAATAAGATAAAATAAAATTAAAGATTGTCCAGTCCGTTTTTTGTGGCAGCAGTACAGATGCTGGCGGCTGGTCTGTGTGCATTCCACCGGTGGGGAGCATGCACAGTTCGGTGAAGCTTCACCCGGAAGTCCGTCAGCATTAGCAGAGAGTGTGGAGCCGAAGGGCTGGGGGACGCAGACCTCCAGCCATCTGGGCTCTCTGTGTCCTGTTGCGCTGGGAAATGGTGGGTTGTGACCACATGGTGCCACCCTGATTCCTTACCCTGGCTCATCCCATACATTTAGCACAGTAGCAGAAGTGATTTGATCTGGGAAATGAAAGAAATTATGTATATAGATTTTTTCTTTTAATTTTTGGCCAGCTTTTATTGGAGATATCGATATCTATATATAGTGTTATTCTGAAGTGTTTTCCAGTTTCTTTGTGTGTCCTTCCTGCTAGATTTCAGAGGAAATGCCCATGGTAGTTAGATATGAACCAAAAGTGGCATCTTGCAGATGAGCATGGCTACCACTGACCTGCTTTGAATTCAGACCTCTAAAGGGTTTCTCCAGATTTAATGATCACATTTTTTTATTTTGAGTTTTGAATGTTCAGGTTTTGCTAACAACACGTGTTGTTAAGCATGATAGTCAACTGCCCAGAGAGGGCATCTCTATGAGGAACAAGTGCAGGGCACCATCATCCCCATCGCCAGCACCATGGCTAACAGTCACCAGGACTTACTGTGTGCACAAGGCCTCTACCAGCCCTTCCGTTTCACTGACTTCTCCCCCACGTGAGGAGGGTTACCTACCGTTCTATCGCTCTTACCTGGGTCAGGAAACAACAGCTTGGAGGCTGCTCTAGGCTTCTCCTGTTCTCAAAGAATGTAGCCCACTCACTACATGAATAGCAGGTCTGTTAAATTATGTGTGAAACTCCCAGGCCTTCCTCACTACGGGACATCATTTATAGTTTCTGCAATCTAGTATATGTGGACTTAATTCATGTTAGTTTACTAATATTTTTTGAAAAACACATATTCTTACCTCAATTTCGTTTTAAAACCTAATTTAGAATTCTAACTTAGAATTCTCTAACTTGAGTCCTCAAGCTTAAAAGTCATAAGGATTTAGAAATACATGGGGTTTACAATTAATCTGGTCCAGCCAGTTTATTTTATGATAAATAAACTGAGGCCTGAGAAGCCAGTTGATTTGCCCAAGATCATACCACATGATAGAAGAAGAGCCGAGAAAGGTAACTGGGTCTCCAGACTTTCAATCCAGTGCTTTTGCCATGATATTGTATATAATTTTGAAAAATTAGTATACTCTAAGTATATGAATTCTCTTCCTCCTCCTCCTCCTCATTATATCTGGTTCATCAGGAAAAAAAGTCTATAAATAAGAGACATGCCATTGAGATCGTTGGTATTTTATTTTAGTTGAGTATAGTTGACACACAATGTTACAGATATTATTGATATTTTATTCCCCTTGGTTATCCCCATTATCAGTTTAAATCTACATATACTTTATATAGGGAAATGGGCAGTAGTTATTATAACTTCATTTTATAACACAGCAATAAATCTCAGTGAAACTTCTGTCTGTAGGTAAAGGTTTACAGAAGTAACCCCATTCAGAATAGGGAAACTATTATAAGCTGGACTGTTTTAAGATTGTTGAGCAACTGTTTTGTTTTGTTTTTTTTTTAATTAGACAAGTCTAACCTGGTATGTTTCAGCTACTTTGGAATTGACTGAAAAGTTTTCCATTATTACAGATCAAAGAAGGGCTCATCCAACCCCTCACTGATCCTTGTACTCCCTGTCTTTCTCCTAGGGGTGAAGTGCAACCAGTGGTCTGAGGAGGCTTCGATGGTATTTCGAAATCATGTGGAGAAGAAACCTCTGGTGGCATTGGTTCAGACAGTTATAGAAAATGCTAACCCTTGGGACCGGAAAGTCGTGGTCTATTTAGTGGACACATCGTTGCCAGACACAGATATCTGGATTCATGATTTTATGTCAGAGTATCTGGTAGAGCTTTCAAAAGTTAATTAATCACTGCTTCTGAGATATTGACAACTAATTCAGATTTTTTAGCAATAACAAAATGTAGTAGGCTTTAAAAAAAGAAACCTCATCTCTGCTACAGAGCTCTGACTGCTGTGGGGATTGAAAACAATATGCTTCTGTTTGATGAAAGATATTTAACAAGTTTTGTTTTAACCGAGTTGACTTTTCAAAGAAAATTGCACTTGAATTATTACTACAATATTAGAATAAAAATGTTTATCAATATAAAAACTGCCTTATCATTTCTGAGCTTTATGATCTTAAGACGAAGGGTTTCCCTTTCTATTCATGTCTTCTTTGTGGTGCTGGGTTCCTTTACAGTTAGATTGTGAGAACTTCATGACTTAACCCTGGTGTAGTGGGGCATCCCAAAGCAAGTGGTCACCAGGCTGCGTGAGGACTATCTTGAGTTGTTAGCACATTAGCATTGCTGGTGGTGCTATAGAGAAGCCGCCCAGGTGACCCTCAAAGCATGCCCCTCACCCCAAATCTTGAGTGGCACCTCACTGCCCAGAGAGCCCATGCCTTCCAAAGTCTCCCTACCCAACCCCATTGCCCACCACTCCCTAACCAGCCACACTGGACCTTTATCTGGCTCCTGAAACCCATGCATGTGCACCTGGGACTATATTCTACAGCAAGCCTTGCTCCCCTCCAAACCATGCTTATTCTGTTTCTTCAGCCTGCTGCTCATTCTCCCCCCTCCACCATTTTTGTTTGCCAGGATCCATCCCAGGCTGACCATGAAGCCTTCCCTGGCACCGCTCCTACTCTATTACATTTTGAATATGCCTCTCCTGGTGCCCAGCTTTCACTGAGCTTAATAGCGTATAACTAGTTGTCTGTGCACCAGTCACCCCAACTAGATCGTGAGCTCCTTGAAGGAGGGAGGGGTCTTTGTCATCTCTCTAATGGTGTCCTGATAAATGTTTGACAGTTGGTTCTGGTGGGGGTGGGCAGGGAGTAAGCCTTGATTCCCAGTATCTGATGATTCCCAGTATCTGATGATTCCCAGTATCTGATGATTCCCATGTTGTAAATACTCCCACCATTGTTGAGTTCCCGCTAACAATGTGACATCACTGAATATAGAGTTGGGAGAAGACATACCCAAGCAGGTCTTGTGAGCCTGTGCACGGACCCCAGAACACACCCCTGTCTGTCTTCCACAAAAGACAGAATGATATCTTGAACACCTCAGGCACCCATTATGTGCTTGCTAATTGATGAGCAGGGTGGACTGACAGGTTGGAGGCCTTCCTAAGCAGTGGTCCAAAAATGAGAGGGGCAGGCCCTGGACTAAGAGGCAAGCAATGGGAATGAAGAAAAAAATTAAAGGCCTTTGCAGTTTTTAATTAGAATTTTTAGTACTGACATTTTAGATCCAGAAGACAGGAAAAAGGAAGTGTCGAAAAGTGAAGCCAAATCTTAGTCTGAAAGGCTAGGATGATGATGACCCTTACTCCATTTGGGAAACTGAGAATTTTGATTTTAAACATCCTGAGTTTAAGTCAATAGGTCTCTGTGAGGATATGCATAAACTATTAGAAATGTAGAGTCTTCTCAGGGGAGAAGACCAGGCTGGAGATAAAAATTCTTCAGGTCATTTGCTTATTTTTGTTTGAGAAAATCTAGGAGAAGTGAGAGCAGAAAGAAAAAGACCAGATGTTTGATATTTTTCATGTAAAACATGTTGAAATTATCTAACTTCTTAAAATTTATATTTAACATAATTAAAGTGATTCAAAATTCAGGAATGCTTATGCCAGTGATTTAATCATTTATGATAAAATCAAAATATCTTTTTTTTTTTTTAAGATTTTATTTATTTATTTGAGAGAGAATGAGAGAGAGCACATGAGAGGGGGGAGGGTCAGAGGGAGAAGCAGACTCCCTGCCGAGCAGGGAGCCCGATGCGGGACTCGATCCAGGGACTCCAGGATCATGACCTGAGCCAAAGGCAGTTGCTTAACCAACTGAGCCACCCAGGCGCCCTAAAATCAAAATATCTTGACATATAAACACTTAAGTAAAATAGTGTGAATGTATTTTACAATGATTTCTCTCCCTAATAAAAAACAACAAAAATCCTCAAATTGCCTACAGATAAAGAAGAGGTGGTTTCTATTTCACTGACGTTAGAAATGCTTCCATTACTTTCTTTTTTCTTAAGATTTTGTTTATTTATTTGACAGAGAGAGAGAAACAGCATGAGAAGGGATAGGGTCAGAGGGAGAAGCAGGCTCCCCGCTGAGCCGGGAGCCTGATGTGGGACTCGATCCCAGGACTCCGGGATCATGACCTGAGCCGAAGGCAGTCGCTTAACCAACTGAACCACCCAGGCGCCCTTCCATTACTTTTCGAAATAAAGCAATTGTGTTGTTGGTGTAAGTGAAAAATTAATCATGCTAGGACAATTTGACAGACAATGAAACTTGGCCTCATACCATGTTCAAAGTTGATTCCAAGTGGATTCAAAGCCTAAACATGAGAGTCTAAGGAGGGAAGATAACACAGGAAAATACCTTGATAATCTAGGAGTAGGAAAGATGTCCTAAACAGGACAAAGTGCTAACAAAAAGGCAAATAATGATAGGTTAGACTATGCTAAAATGAAGAACACCTGTTTATCCAAAGGCATTATTATGATGGTGTAAAGGCAATTACACAGTGGAGGAAGTTTAGTATATAGAATATATTCAATGAACAAAAGACTATCCAGAAACAAAATGGCAACAAATTTGAACAAACATTTCACAAAAAGGAAATCCAGCTGGCCCATAAACATGAAAAGGTGCTCAACCCATCAGGACATGGAAAATGGAAATTCAAATTTCAGTGAGATACCACCCCTCCTCCCAGAACCGAGACGACGTTCCAACTTTCGTTAATTTCAATTACTGAAGAATGCGTGCCCTTGTGCTGGAGGATACTGGTAAAGAAGTTCACAGCAGCACCATGGCTGTATCTAAAACCTAGAAACAAATGTCCATTAATAGTAAAATAGATTTTTTAAAAACTGTGGTATATTCATGCAGTGGAAACCTCTACAGCCATGAAAGTAAACAAACTACAGCCACATGAAGCCACGCGGATTAATCTCACAACGCAGAGTTGAGCAAACGGAGACAAACCACGAGGGAAGCAGGAGTCAAGGAAGCGATCACCTTAGGAGGGAGCTGTGACCCAGGACCACACCGGTTGGTTTCTGGGCTGCTGGCCATGTAGTTTCTTGACTGAATGGTGGTTGCAACAGGTGTTCAGGTGAAAAAAATTCTTGAACCTGCGCACTTAAGATGTACGTACTTCTCTTAAATGTTTGATTCCACAACTAAGGGGTTTAAAAACAATCTGAAATAAATCATCGCTTTATTTAAAAATGCATGGCACGTATCCTCTTGAAAAGACCATTTTCTTACAGCTGTGAGGGTTTTGTAATGTAGGAATACATTTTTGTGGAAAACAAGACTTACAAAAACAAAAACGAATGTTTCTCATTAGTAATCCATACACCAGGTTTTTTTTTTTAATTTAAATTTATTAATTTGAGAGACAGCATGAGCACAAGAGCGGGGAGGGTCAGAGGGAGAGGGAGAAGCAGGCTCCCCACTGAGCAGGGCTCCATCCCAGGACCCCAGGATCATGACCTGAACCGAAGGCAGAGGCTTAACTGCCTGAGCCACCCAGGGGCCCCTATATACCAGGATTAAAAGGAGTTACGTTATTAGGGTCTACCCCACAAGAAACTTACCCATAATAATTAGAACCATACCTTTTGTTCACATGAATTCCTTTTTATGAGCCATTTAAAAAATTTAAACAAAGTTTTTGTTTGGGTTTAAGTGGTTTGTTCTGGGAAACATATTAGCCTTTTAAGAAAGTGGGACCTTTTGGTTGTATTTTAAGTCGGTATTTTGGACCCTCCATTCCTGCTAAGTATAGAGAGAATGCATTTGACTCAGTTGGAACTACGTGCTCACAAAATGATCGTTATTAAATCTTCGGCTCATACCAGCCCTAGGTGGGCTGCTGGTAAAATGGGACAGGTGATTGCTGTAGCCAAAAGAGTAAAGGTGCAGCAGCTGCTTGGCTGGCCTTGCTCCATCCAAAGACCTACCAATTCTTACATCCCAGACGCCGCAGGAATGAAAATCCACCCACCTTTCTCCAGATAACTCTACCGCCGCTTAAACGCCTCCTGGTACAATTGGGGAAACCAAGACTCAGACTCGGGGCTATCCACACCCCTTCGTCCGCGGAACCAAACCTCGAGGCGGCCCGGCCCCTGCCCCGCGCTGCCCCCAGCGGACGTCGCACCGCGGTCGGGGACGGTGCGCGGCGCCCCGGCGCCCCCGAGTGGAGGGATAGGTACGGAGGGAGAGGGCGGTGGG